CTCTGCCTTCCTCCAATCTCCTATTTCTTATATTTTTTCCAAAGATGTCAATCATCTCTAATCTTCCATTTCCTGGTGTTTTCAGCTGCCTTCCAATTGATCCCGTGTGCGATCTGTTCCACCATTTCTGATCGTTCGGTGTGCATTTACCTTTGATGTTCCTTGATTCGTGTGCTGATTTTTCTCCCTGTTTCGCCAATATACTTTTGTTCGCAGGCGCCCAATTATATTCACTAAACTCCCGAACAATCCAACTTGTCCACTCTCGTATTGCGTGGCTAGACTTGTAGAGTGTTATTTTTTCCTTCGTTCCATTTCATTAGTATTTGCCGTAGGTTTTGAGTTAGTTCGAATGGAGTCGCTCTTCACCCTTACTGTTCTTTCACAGTCCCCGTTCTGCCATCGGCTTTCACGGCCCGTATGTTTCTTTGTATAGCTTCGCTTGGGTTACTGTTGCTAAGGCATGTCCAAGTAATTTTGCCCAATTTTAAAATTCCACAATTCCACATCCGTTAAACTTAGGCTTCTGGTAGTCATGCTCCTCAGTATTGCTCTCTTTAGCCTGTAGTTGTGCTGCGAATGTAAATTGAGTATTGTCCAGGCATATTACTTCTTTCTGAACAATTTTCTCTTGTGCGTCCCATTAGAGCGAATCACTCCAACATCGTGGAAAGGTAGCCGTTCACATTCCCCTACTTCCATCGTGAATTTGATATTTTCATTATTCTGGTTTATAAACTTCAGAAAATCTTCCAGTTTTTCTCTTGCATGTGGTATACGAAGTCGTTGTCCAGGTAACACCTGAGGACTGATGACTGTAGCGGTGGCATCTTAAAATTCTCTTTTAATTTGTTCCTGTAACGTTTGCCAAAAGAGGTGAGAGTGGCGATCGCATGGGAAGTCTAAATTATTGTTCATAGATGTTCCTGTTTAATGCGAAATAGGTTGTCCTTAGTGCCAAGTTGATTAGTTTTCTTAGCAGCTCCCTCCTTATCCTTTCTACTCCCAGGATATCCTCCTCCTGGCCAACGATTTCAGCATGGTCGTAAGCGCCTTTTCTCTAGAGATGTTTGCATATACTGATTGTCCATCCAAACTTACTAATAAGTCTGTTTCTTCCAATGCCATGTTTTTGATTCTTTGAAAAAATTCATATTAATGTTTCACTTTGTTTGGTAAGCTGTCATTTAATTTCTTGAGTCTCAAACATATGTACTTTGCCTATTTGTGTGTTGCCCCATACCTGTTGTCGACCATCAGCCTTAGTGGTTCGCCTTATTTTTCTATCTTCAGTGACCCGTAGGCTGTTGATTTAATTTTTTGTCCAGGTGTCAATCTTTCCGTTCCTATGCATATCTTTCAGCATGTCACGTAAGATTCCATTGATCTTCATATTTGAGTCTTTCTTTTATATACAATATTTAATCTTTTCTTGCAGATGACATTCCATCTTATCAGTATATTATTATTTGTCTATTATCATTGTCGCTCCTCCTTTAGCCACTAAAGGATTAATTATTCATTCCTTTCCAGGGTCTTGAATATCCTGGCAAATCCGTTCCTGTGTGTTGTTTCTTGATGTGGCAAGATTTTGGGAATTAGTTCCAGCTCCATTTTCATTTTTGTCTACTCCTGTAACTTGTCGGAGATATTGATAAACTCCACCTGAAAGTCTCCTAGAAGGCTTCCGCCATTTTGAAGTGAAAAGTTGAGTTCTTTTTTCCGGATCGTAGTGATTTCGGGATCAGGAGGAAATGCTGATAAAGTCAATACTTTCTTCTGATCGTCGTGCTGATCAGGTGTTGCCACCTCGAAAATCACTTTAGCTGTGCGCGTTGGCTTTAACTTACGCTGTCTTATAATTCCAAACTTACTCAAATTATTATGGTGTCGTTTTGTTATTAAGTCATTAAATCCTACGTGATTTCTCATCGGTTATGATCTGGAGTTTTTGAAAGTCTTCCGAAGTCCAGATTCTGGCCAGGTCACGCCGGTGCTTTGACTTAATATCTATAAACTTGAATAGCTTATTGCTCTCCGTATCATAAGTCTGACTTAGTTTCCTAATAGAAGCCTGGTGGAGATACTCATTAACCTTATCCGGGTGGTAGGTTCTTTTAAGGTCACAGAAACGTCTGAGAATGTACCAAGTCCACAGTCTGACGCTGGGGGCTATGATAACTACTAGGGCAGAGATATTCGGACAAGGTGCATCCAACTAAGTCTCGCTGACAAAAAGACTAAGTTACGAAAACGAGGTTAATCCACTTCAAAACTCATGTTTGCCCATATAATTTTCCGTTAATGTATATGTATGTACTATTCATTAATACATTTATCAATATCATACTTAAGATAGCTTGATTTCTTGACCATTTTCATAGCTGGATGTCGACTTTATACTAACTCTTAAGCCAATGTTAACATGTCTATAGGAATAGTCGCTTACATCGACACTACACGAAAAATTATGATGAAATCCCCCTATTCTACCAATTGCTCATCAATTAATTTACCGGAGCCATATAAAGTAATATCCACGCCAATGTAGGTAACCTGCATAAAGACTGAAATTCCACCTTTTCTGAATTCATGATCTTCTTGAACTCATGCTCAACTTAGGAGTTTTGGAAATACCTAATTATTTTCAGGGTAGCAAAGTAATTGCGACCAAACAGAAAGCCATGCCATCTTGGTCTACATATCTACGATCTAACAAATTTTTTGCATACCTTGTTGTTGACGCATTACATCAAACAAACTCAAGGTAGTGCAGAAAGTCCCGTCACATACGCCTGACAGTCATCAAATTACAATAGGAAATCTTGCTCATTTGACAACAAAATAAGAATGAAAAAATAAGGTATACGAGATAATTTTCCCATTTATTGCACCAACAGTCAATCAGCATTTGTACATGATAAGAGTTCTTGCCTTATAATTCGTGATGGACTTACACAACGACAATCAGCTACACACTAAGTCGGTTGCTTAGCAGGATGAAATGTCAGGATCTTCTGCGCAGCTTCACGAATTTCCTGTACTTACATGCTCTCTAGATCTAATTCACCCAAGCTTTCTCCATTTTTAGTATCTGATTTTGAACGTTAAGGGGAATTCACCCATTCAAAAAGGACAAATGTTTCGATGAATTCTTCATCTTTAATTACATACAGTAGAAATTAACAAAATATAAAGCTTACATCTCATTCCTTGATATGTATTTTCGCTAATAAGCCCATTGTTTATGCAGTTCACCCTGGATGAGAACAACTTTTGGGAAAGCAAGGCTATGTGAAATTTAATGGAAACGTCAGCCCTACCCATAGCATTGTGGGAAAATTCTACTACCAGTCCTTCATCACCTTAAACAAAATTGGGTGAATAAATCTCATATTACTGATTTAAAGGTAGTCTCCAAAATCCACTTAAAATGCGAAAAATAATTAACTTAGTCGATTGTTATAGCAAATATACGTTTGCTACATCGACAATCCCACCAAAGAATATGATATGGCAAAAGGTCTGGCCCTGCTTAAAAATCACATCTGCCCTGTGACCAAAGGGCACTCGTGGCAATGTGGCCGAGTGGTTAACGTGTCATGCTCCCATTCTGCACTGTCACGGTTCGACTCCCTCTTGGGTTGTTGATAAGACCAATACGAGGTCGAACCTGCAGTCCACTCTGGGTGAAAACAACTTTTGGGAAACAAGGATCTGCGAAATTTAATGGAAACGTCAGCTCTACTCATATCATTTTAGGAAAATTCTACTACCAGTCTTTCATTACCTTAAACGAAATAGGGTGAATAAATCTCATATTACTGATTTACTGGTAGTCTCCAAAATCCATTTAAAATACAAAAAGTAGCATGGACTGGTTATATACAGGAGCTAAAAAAGTAAGTATGCACATATGTTTGCAAAAATTTTAAATCTGACTGCATAGGTGTGCTTTGTTAACTTAGTTTGAGTACTTTAGTATTTTAGTAACAAACTGCCAGCTCAGGAAGCCTAAGTTTGGCATGTACTGGACTCTATTCCGCATCTAAAGCAATATCCTTGTCTCAACTATTTGAAAATAAATTAGGCCTTTAGATAGAGTGGCTTATCGCTTAGTACCACTCTTAATTCAACTAGAGCTAAAGCTTAAAATTGTTTTTAGCTTTTTAACTTCATTTGGGTGGGTTGGAAGTCTAGCTCTTACCCACTTCGCTAGCTAGCCGACTTTAGAATCAAATATCAAGAAACAGTGTTCAGGCTTCGACAAAACGTTTTTTGATTTCTTACTGTCAAGATATCATAGGAACTGCCTATGAGGCGTCCGGTGGGATACTGATACCTAGGATGTTTATTTTCTGAGGCTCTTATGTGGTTTCATGGAGAAAGGTATTAAACTCAGCATTGATGTAAAATATTCAACTTTGGAGTAGCTTAGTATAAGAAACAAAAAATGGCACTTTGAAGACTGCTGATACCATTGTTTATACATCCACCAACGAGGAATATAGACACCACCAGCATGGCGTGATTTTGCAGCCCATTATATGTATTTGTTGAATCCAGTGAGGGATAGAATCAGAAGCCAATAGATTAGCATCATAAACTAAATTGGACGGGCGTTCATATGCAGGAAATGTTTAAAACCAAGCGGTTCCACCTGAAGAGTCTCATAAATACATAATTTAGTGGTGCTTTCATCTGCAGATTATATTGAATAACAAAGCAATTGGTAATGCTTAACAGTATATTTCAACTTTCACGCTTTACCGCCCCAAATTTACATCTTTGGTACCAACTTCGGTAACTCAAAAAACCTTTTTCACCTTCCATTGGAAAATTTCCTCTTGAATTCTGTCGAGGGTCGAATAAAATTGCTAAATATATGCTCTATTGACAGTCTGCGATAGTAAATCTTTCTTTGAGCCGGATTCCGCAAAGTCCGAATCTCTTCTGGTCCTAAGAGTCACTAAGTGTCCGAGCCTCGAGGCAACCGGGGGCTATGCTATCGTCTGCATAGCTTTGCGGTTCTCTCGCTCCCTGCAAAATTGATACATCAGATTGACGCACATGACGAAAGTGAGCATCGTGCAGAAAACCATGGCCAAGATGAGCCACTCAAAACGTTTGTTCACCACTTCGCGCATCCTCGAGCCGTAGCAGCCTGTGTGGAAGTTACTGTTCCACTCGGTGTGCTGCAGCCGGCACGAAGTGATACTCTCCCCTCGGCAGCAGGAGCTGGGCGCTCGGACGGGCTGCAGGCCGAGCTCTTGCAGCGTGATGTTGCCCGAGAGCCCGAAGAAGTCGCTGCCATTCATCACTCCGCAGCAGCCGTAGCTCCACTGAACAGCATCCACCAGCCGCGTGAAGCTGTCCACTGCAGCCTCGGCCTCCGTCCGCCAGTGGCTGCTGTTCCAGGCGGCCTGGCGCGCCCAGTCGAACGAGTAGCCGTCGGCCAGCAGATGCCGCAGCTCGGTCTGCAGATGGGCGTGTATCAGGCGCTTGTCTGTGGCCAGATTCACGGCGCCTGTGATCAGCACACCCGCCAACAAGTGCACTGTCAGGACGTCGAGTCGGAGCAGATTGGGCGAGTTGAACCCAGTGCCGAGGATGGTGAGGAAGGTGATGAAGAGGCAGATGGCCCCGATTATGAAGAATAGGGTGATGATGCGATCTGAGTAGGGCTTAAAGGTCTCGACGGATAGCCGATCGGATAGTTGGAAGAGATCTTCCGGTAACCAGGTCTGCGGGGGCCATGGCATCAGGTAGTTGGGCTGTGCAAATTTGGTATAGCAGGCAAGGGCGATCAGCACTATGCCGACCAGGCCCTGAAGCAGGCTGTACCAAAAGGTCAAAGTGGAGTCGGTGCAGACTGGTGCATGCATCCTGATGGAGGGTGCAAGGTGGTTCTGGGGGGATATCCGATCTTCTGTTGGCCGTCGATGTGATGATGAGTCTTATGAGGGAAGCAGTTATGGATTGTGAGAGGGCCGTTGGAAAGCCTAAACATCTGGCCAGTGCCTAAATGGCAGGAGGGCCAGTCTTGCAGACCACATGACCAGGCCTACATTGTTATGCTCGCAGTCATGCCTGCTGGAGATAACTGGCGGAAATGCGAAGTATGTGAACATGGACAAGCGTGCTCAGAATTAAGTGGCAGTGGACCATTTGATAGCTAGCGTTGGACAATATACTTTGAGACCTGACTTTTTATACAATTGATAAGGCCGCCTTGCCCTAGGATACAGAAAGTACATAACTATTTAAATATTCTCCAATTTTATATCTATGTGTATATACGTTTCTTTCTTAACACACACATGTGTGCAATTATATGTGCATATATGCATACATCATTATCTCTTATCTATCTATCTATCTATCTATCTATCTATCTATCTATCTATCTGCCTACCTACATATCTATCTATCTGTCTGACTGTCTATCTGTCTGTCTATCTATCTATCTATTTATCAATCTATCTATCTGTCTATTTGTCTCTATCTATTTATCTACCTATATATATACCTATCTATCTATCTATCTACCTATCTATCTACCTATCTGTCTGTTTGTCTATCAATCTGTCTATCTACCTGTCTACCTGTCTT